CAAGTTCCCGAATGAGAATTTATGTATTTGAAGAAGGAAAAAAAAAATCACTGAATGGCTTGCTTGTACTCCACCTTGTAGGACATGTTGGCCTGGGTAAAAAAGCGCCGGAGAACCATCCGCAGGGAGGATCTTATTAGCTTTCTGTGTGGCAAAGCACCCCCCCACCGGAGTAGCAGGGCCAACACAAGGCTGGCCATGGTGGCCCCCAGCCGGGCTAATTCGCCGGTTGAGACCGGCTCGTCTGTAGAAGCCGACCTGCAGCCATTCAGGGAGGCCATCGCGCTGCATGGTAAGCAACATCAAATGGGTGTCCTGTCAACAGAAGCAATTATTAATTTTTTTTGTCCGAAATGCTCGCTGCTCTGGTAGTTGAAATACGAAATTGTCCCTCGCTTATATTCAGGCTATCGACAATGAAACACTCTTAAATGTAGACTCGAATGGGTTTTACGGTCAGATGCAAAATGGTTTCAACGGCTGGCACCTAGATACAAGTGTGTACTTGGATCGATGGACGTCTGTTCACATGCGTTTGAGAGATAAGGTGAGTTCAATGTGGGCCAGTGACAAGGGGGGAGGACACTCCTCTGGGTTCGTGAGCAAGAATATCTCTGAGGTCGCCCTGATTTCTGCTTTTTTAGGGTGGACCTGCTGCTGCTGCTACTGTTTTGGGTCTGTGTCTTTCAGTCACATAGCACATGTGACGTGATTGACCATCATATTGTTACACATGTATAGCCCAAAACCTATAAGAAAAAGATCATCCCTGTTGGCAAAGCATCCTCTTCCTGACCTTTATCTGTTTGTATTTCAAAACAGGAGTTCTCATAAGAACTATGCCTTACACGGTCACGATTTTGGGGGCTGGTCACCAATCAATGAGCTAAATCAAACCAAAACAAGATAACTGTTCACAAGGATCATCACAAGATGTCTATTTCAATCATTTCTTCAATACTGCTGACATATTTTATTTTTTTTTAAATTTCTTTTATTTAAAAAGGAACAGTACCCGTCAGTGAACATTTGCATGTAAAGACGCCAGATTATCGCTGAATGTGATTTGAATGTAAAATATTGATTTGTTAACAGCCCAGCGAAGCTTGATTTGTCGGAGCAATATCACCGCTTTCAAAACATTTCAGTCAGAAAACTTGCATGGTAGGATGAAGTAGTGCGACGCCTTCTACCGTATTGACAGACGCGGGACTTTGACTTAACAACCTTTGACGGCGGTGAGAGCGTTACGAAGCGAGGTCGTCACGTTCCGTAGCAGCTGCATTCATTTATATTCGTCTTTATTCGTTACATCATTTATGCAACTTTAAAAGTGTATAATTGCGGACAATTGGGCTCGCGGGGTTGCGCTCTGTAAAATGTTCGTGGTGAAGAAAAAGCACACGCTGTGTTTGTTTGACTTCCCTCAAATCTAAGTCGTTAATGGGGCGGTCGCCGCGGGTCTCTCATGCTTTTGTTCACCATGCCACTAACTACATGGAAGTTGCTTTGAGCGGAGGAGGGGCTGTTTCAACGGACCCCCCCCCCCCAAAAAAATTTTTTTTTGAACATTGCCAGTCAATCTAGTGACCAGTGGTCGTGTTATCACTTTGGCTCCTGAACGCTATCTTGGTTGACAACAGCTGTAAACAAGTCAATACACTCACCAGACAGGCCAACTTCCTCACTCTCCGTTCTCCAAGTCTGGTCCTTTTTAATTCAGTCCCGGCCGTGATTGAGACTTCCGATCCCACAGACAGCAGTGATATTGTCCCATGTTTTTATTTCACCACGCTGTGTGTGTGAAAGCGATGAGACGGCCATTGCGCGTGCCGGAGTGACGTGGTGGATTGAAACTGTTGGCGGCGTCTGCCTTTGATACCACGAAGCTCGATTCCCAAACTTATGTCATGATACAGTACTTTTGATACTTCAATCGCTTGAAACACACAATTTGCAGTATTGCACGACAAATTAAATCACTATCACACTCGCACAAGCGGCATATCTCGGTTTCCCATGCAGCAGTGAAAGTTATTACAATAGTTGCGTGCAAACAAGGTAGCGCCAATATATTTTAGTGGCAGCCAAAATTCAGTTGTGGCGGCCGCCACAGGTAAATCTGTATGTGGGGGACACTGCAGCTGTAATGTCATTTGTTGGAGCCAATCAATGACGTCATTGATCTATTGGCAAATGAAAGACATTGCGGCCGATCACAAAAAGTGCACAAAATGCAAAATATCCGCAGAGCAGATCAATGCGACGTCTGAGTGATTTCAATAGTAATGAACAGTGCATGATTTTTTTTTCTTTTTGACTTTAGAAGCTAGTTTTAAAGTAGATCCTTAATGATCGAAACGGTATAAAGTAAACATAAAATAGTGTGAACTTTTAAGGACGGAGGCATAATGTTGTCGTTTCCAACCGTGGCGTAAAAATCGGTTGTCACATGGCACAAGAAGCACGCAATGTGTTTTTCATAAAAATATCGACTGTCATTATGACCCTGCTACCCCGAATACGTACATCAACAGTTTTCTTTACTTTTTCCTTTATGTAAGTGCCGTGTTAATGTTCAAAGGATTCATAAGGTTACGGTGGCTTAGAATAAGAATAGACTTTTTAGGGATAAAAAGTCTGCCTTGTTTTGGACAAAAATATCACTTGTGTGATTGAATGTTAACAATTATGGTGGCACTTCCCAATAACGTGCATGTTTTTCGGCGTCCAGGTCTGAGCGGAGCCATGGCGAGCATCAGCGTGCGCTCGGGCCCCCCGGGGTCTCCCACGCACGTCAGCGGGAGCAGCAGTAACGGTGGCGGCGCCGGCGGGGGGGCGTCTTCGGGCTCGGGGGCACTCTGCCGCAGCCGACGCAACGGCATCCTAGACGTGGACCTGAACACTTTCATCTCTGAGGAGATGGCGTTGCACCTGGACTCGTCTGGCTCGGCCACGACCGGGGGAGGGGGCGCGGCCAGGAAACGAAACTCCACCCAGTGCAGTGACGTCATCACAGACTCGCCCACTCACAAACGTAACCGGATGATTTGAACTGCCACGAAGAGGCCACGAGGCTTTCCGCGAAGACCGCGGAAAGCGCCGTCTCCCTTCCTCTCGTCAAATCAGAACGTGCGCGCGTGTGCGTGCGCGCGCATGCAACCCGTTCCACCGTGTTGGAGGGTTCCAGGCAGTTGTCCCGTGGGTAAAGACGCACTGTGCTAAAGCCACTTGATTCTTGACACATTTGTGCCCTTATACCCCCCGCCCCCCCCACCCACCACCTTAATAAGGAAGTGAGGTGTCACCAAGGACGTCAAACACTTCTTTCTGTTACTCGCTGCTCCCTTGCAGCCCCGACTTGATGTCCTGTCCTTGCGATGCTTCAACCACTTTCTCTTCTTTTACCACCAGTGTTAAGCATTGTTTTCACTGTTGTACAACAGTGATAGCCAAATGTAAGTTTCACGCCTTCTTTGTTTTGTTTTGTTTAATTCTAGTATTGGTTGAGGATTATTGAGAGGATTTGAAAGACATTCTCTCACCGACCCCCCCCCCCGACCCCCCCTTTTTGCAGTCGTATTCTCAAAAGCAGCTGTTGGTTTATGTGATTGTGCGACTTTTCTGATGAGTTGCAATAAGGCTTTTTGCACTTAAGGTTTCATGCAAACAAAATCGGCTCTTCCATCGCATCGCAGTTGTAGCCTCTACCTGTTCCAACGCGGACGCTGGCGAGCGCTTGCCGTCGCGCGCGGCAGAGCACTCGCTTCTCGTTCTCTCGTCCTCGTCTGTTTTGTTTCCACAAAAGGTTGAACTTCATGTGAGAACGCCGGTGCTCTAAGAATAAAATATGTCACGAATGAGTCGTGAAAGTTTCTCATCAGACTTGAGATGTGCTCACAAGCCATCTTATAGTTTGCGCTTACATGAGCTATAGTTTGATTTCATCAGCATGTAACATGCAAAGACGATGGATCTCAAAGACTTTGATGTCACATTGGCTCAAATTTTATTTTATTTTTTTCTTTTGTCTATTTTGTTTTTTCGGAATACTTTCTAAAAATGAATTAGATTTTAAAAAGAAAGCCCTACGATATTTAATGATGCGTTTACTCCCAGTTAGGCTCTGCTGTGTTGGAGGCATTTACACTTGAAGCGAGCAACCGTGATATCGGCGGCGCTCTTATCTGGACGACATGGAAACTGGCCGAGTGTATGTCAGTTTTTGGTGAAACTTCAAACATGTTTAACTTTGGCTCTCATAGTCCTGCATGATTGCTGGCTTGTCTTCTAATTGACCGTCTTTCATTTTTGTTGCATAACCACTGAAAAGTAGCATTTGATTTGACGGCAGTATCTGACCACGTGATGGGCGCCATTGCTGACGGCTGTTTGTTAATGTACGTTTTGAGGGGAAAAAAAGTCATCTTAACTTATCATAGGAAGGATTTTTTTAAAGGAAATTTCCCTTAAAGTAAAACACTTCATCTATGGAAGTGTTAGTCTCTTAATCACAGGTGGGGAACCTTTGAGTCAGTCCTCAGAGGGTGTAGTTAGATTGATAAAAAAAAAATCTAACTAAACAAATGTTTATCCTATGTTGTGAACATTTGTTGGTTAAATATTTTCAGGCTTTTATAGCAATTCCTCCGAGGCTTTATTTGTTTTAAAATTGCATGGCGGGCTCTTGAAGCTCGTAGGTTCCTCAACCCCTGCTTGAATGTGATCATATATGGTGAAAGGAGGATTTGTTGTCAGCCTGCTTCTATTGTTTGAAATCATGCTTTTTCTTCTTTTTTTTTGGATGATTTGCTTCACTTTCTTTTTCCACACGTTTAACTCTGCTCTGTGGTTTAACATTCACTCGCATCTGCAGCACTTTTGACTGAAAGGCAACATGGTGGTTGTTGCACGTCACAGCTGTTAAGGGAACTTTGCGTGACGTGCGTGTGAGGACAAGAGCTACAATTTAAAACAGAAGCATTTGAAATTGAATCCCATGTCACTTTATACACGGGCAGACTTGAGCCACGTCTGAAGCCAACACTATTGTCAGCTCTTTCTTCATACGTAATTGTCAAAAAGGTAATAAATGGCTAATCTATATACTTAACATTTAATTGTTGGTATGATATATGTGGTTCACATTGTAAAGCTGAAATAAAATAATTGAGTTGCAAATTGGCTGGAATGAGTCATTGAAACAAAACTATTTTGTTGAGAATTTGAAAAGTGAGCCGACATCATTTGGTTTTTTTTTCCTGTTAATGTCACACCTATGTTGTCCATCTTTTCTCATCGAACGACACGTTGATATTGTGACAAGCCTACGTGAAGACATTTTCACGAACCCAATTACGTACACAACAATTCACGGAGGTCCCGTTGGTCGGCTATCGTCCTGAATGTTGAAATGTCTCTATAGTTCGTGTGCCAATTTTCCTTCTCCTGAGGTATGAGGCGTTCCAGAAGGCTGTTGACAGACGCACATTCCTCACACAACTGATTCATAGAGACGTTCATCCTACGAAAAGGAATGAAAAGTTGTCATTTCTAGTAGTTAGTAAAAGGGGAACATCTTACTATATGTCATTTATCTATTACTCATCAAGGTATTACGTTTATGTATTTATTAACGTATTTACTAGTAAAAGTGTGCCGGCAGACAGTGCAGTGCGCTTGATATTTTCTCGCCCTTTTTCGGCCCGTGTGTTTTCTTGTCCCCCCCCCCCCCCCCCCCCGGCATTTTTGCAACCGTTTCTGCTTTTTTTTTTTTTTCGGAGAATAACTGATGCTACCGGTCGCACTGCTGCTGCTCGAAGGTGTGTCACTGTCATCCATGCTGCTTTGTTGACTTCCGCTATCTATTTTGGCAAGCAACAGTACCTCGACCAATAGGATGAGCGGATTCTGAATCGTCATATCCGTGGATAAATGTGATGTCAGCTCAGCTCATTGGTCACATAGCAGGGGAGGTCCTCGGAACGTTACCCCAATTTGTCATATAAAGGGTCCTGTTGTTCATTTATTCCATTGGCATTTTTCAGATTATTTTTAACTCTCACGGTATTACGGGACAGAGTACGTCTCTTTACAACTTAATACGGAACGCGTACTTATATTTCTAAATATAGGACGATTGTGTTTTTTCAGGAGACGGTTGGGAACACGATTTCCATTTCGGCCTAATATTGCAGTATCAGACCGATAAAAGTGACGTAATTTTCCCCAAATCGGTCCGATAAATATTGAGCATCCCTTCACAATGCATGCATTGTTGAGCTCTCGTTGACCGTGAAACTGAGTTGCTCGCAGTTCTACTTCTGGCCACCAGACGGTGACAGAGTAAAACTTGTACAGTTACAGATGACCACATTCACGCCTATGGATAGTTTAGTTTCCAATGCATGTTTTTGGAGGGTGTGAGGAAGCTGGAGTAAATCCACACAAGGATGGGCAGACCATGCCAACTCCACACAGAAAGGCCCGAGCCGAGATTTGAACCTCACAATTGGTCAGCAGATGTAAGAGGAACAAATAACAAATGCAAATTCTTTCAATATAATTTAATCTAGCAAGAGCATACCAGACATTCCTAGGAGTGGATAAGATGCTGTCTTTGGTCTTAGACTACGACAGCACACACATGTACACTGCAACGATGCATCCAGATAGCTGGGAATAATAGACTAGAAATTTACAATGTGTATAATTCCGAGTTAATTTTGGTCCAAGTTAGTCTTCCTCAATGACAGGATGAAAGTGACAAGTTCCTTCCAAATATGCCTTCTCTTTTCTCTCTCTGACACATAATCTGAAAAGTTGACATCATAAAATTACAATATGATATTTGAGCAAGGGGAAAGAACATGTTCAGTAATCTTCCAAGATGTGCTGTTAAACTGTGTCTGAACATTTTTTTTTTCCTTCGGCACAGATGTTCAGCTTGTCGGGAGTCAAAGGCGTCGCCATCTATGCAGAGACCGCAAGCTGGACCTTGTACAAAGCAAATGAAGGTTGCGATGGCAAAGGCCTTTGAAGCAGGCGGGTCTTATATCTGGCTGAGGGGAAGAAACTTCTGGTAGTAGCTCTTCGTGACGTCAATCATCAAGTCCTGTGTACACTCTGGAAGCTCCCCCGAAAACAAACCTGAAAGAGAAACACGGTTAAAAAAAAAAATCTTCATGAAGAGAAGAAAAAAAAACCCAGACCTGGGCATCCTGAAAAGACGGTAAAAGGAGGCACCACTGTCTCTGGAGGAAGAACAGTGTTGTCTAAGATCTTGCAGCAGTCTTTCAGCACACAGCGACGACCCTGACAACAACACGACAAACGCTAAATTAAAAAAAATTATATTATCAAACCAATTATGGATAATTTCTTTTTTTTTTTGTTAGTTGTGTAGAGTCTTCACTAATATTATCAAACCAATTATGGATAATTTCTTTTTTTGTTTTTGTTAGTTATGTAGAGTCTTCACTGCATATGCATGAACCAATGCACTTCTTTCAAAATCAAATCATCTGTAGGCTATTCATGACTGAAAATGAAATCAACAATTGCTCACACACAAACTGTGTATATACCATGCATATAAAAAGTCCACACAACCCGAGATTCCAGAACAAACCAAAATAAAGCGGAACATCTGGTCTCATCCAGACTAGCATGTGACTGACGAGAGCGAGTGAGCCGCTGTTGTGAGTCGGCGAGCAAACTCACTATGACGCAGTTCTTGCCAATGTGGACGTAGGATCCGATCTGCGCTGCATTCACCACACAGTCCTCCTCGATGAACACATGGTCACCGATGTGCAGCGGGAAGAAGGCCACTCTGTGAGGGAGGAAGAGACTTGAACACACCGCATTTTGCTATTGTTGCCAAGTCACAATCCACTTTCAAACAAGAACAACAAAGGAAAATGTGTTGTTCAAAAATCGTTTTAAATGCTACTACACATGCCTACATTACATTCATGTTCAGTGGGATTATAACAATTTGCCAGTTTTCATCCAAATGTTCACGAAATATTTGTCATAAGAATAAACATGCATGTTACCCTTTGCTGAACTTCTTGAAAGGTGGACGAATGACACTCCTGCTTTTGACGACACAATGTCTACCCACCCTGACATTAGCCAGGTCGCCCCGGATGATGCAGTCATTCATGACGATGGTCTGGAGGAGAGGTAGTACAATAGAAGCGACTAAAATCACAACCAAAGTCATGAAAATATACCACGAATTATGCCACCGTGTACTTTAACTTACTTTGCCATTAAGTACGATGTTTTGACTTCCACAGAGTACCGATTGCCTGCTAACCTTGTTGCCAGACGCCTGAAATGAACCATAAATATAACATCAAGATCCATAGACGCGTGATTCTTGCACAAGTTAACACAATGTGTTAACTTGTGTTAACATAGACGCGTGATTCTTGCACAAGTTAACACAATGATGCCATTGTGGTCCAACGCCCCGTACGGCTAGTTAGCCACCTAGCACACTAGCTAACGGCGTCCAGAAAGGGATACTTTACCGTCTCAATATACTCCGCTTTGTTGTATAATATTTCAGACAACTCCATGGCTGCGAAACTGAGGAGTTTTTTTTATAGGGAAATAAGTAAAAGGCAACCGTGAAGCATTTGTTTTGTTTAGCTCCGCTCCTCAGACTGACAGTCGGATTGGATGGATGGATTATCAGGCAGTATGAGTTGGGTAAAGTGTTATCGATTGATTTCACCACACCCCAGAACAGAATATTGAATTAGAATGTGTTATTAATGTTTTATTTTTAACATAAAGTTATTCTTAACTTTTATTTGTGATTTTTAAGTACTTAGTAATGTACTTTATTCCATTAATTAATGCTGTGTAGTTGGACTTTGATTACTTTTGCCTGAACAGGCCTGGAAGCGTATGTCGTGCTTTTATTTTTATTACTTGTATATTTTTATTATACTATTTACAAGAATCATTTCAAAAATGAACTTACATTCAAACATACCGTTTACTGGTTAAAAAAATCGAATCTCACCACACATGCGCACTGGCAAGCCCTTGTTACGTCCCCTTCCTCGCACTGCATCCTGGGTACCTGACGACTTCTCTCAGTCATGGCGTCCCGTGTCCTGCACCAGTGTGTCCGCTCTCTCGGCCGACCTTCGCTGCGGCTTCTGTCCACGAACCTGGCAGTGAGAGTCGCTCCGGTCTCTGCTGCAGCCGCTCTCCGACCTCTCTCCTTCACCGCGGCCAGCAGGAAGACGCGGTGGCTCGGTCAGAGCTCTGTAAGTGTCCCCTATCATTGAGCTGCTGGGCCTAGCGTGCGTCGCCATGACCTACCGACGCCTTTCAAAACGGTTGCGTTATCATAGCATGAGAAAAATAATGCTGGATAACAAGTTGTTGAGTTGGACAATTAAAATGGCATTCCATAAATAGTTTATTAAAATCAACACTATGTACGACTTATGTGTGATAACACGTCAGGTTGGCTAGCTCGCTAAACAATGTTGATGCGTGTTTGTCGATGCAAGTCTTAAGGTGGTATGAATGGTTACATTCTTTCCTTTGTTATGGCAGTTTTCACCTTCCTCTTCAAATTTAGTTAATGCACTACTGTCAGTGAGTTAAATTCTATTACAAAAATAACATTAGGTGCTCAATTATTGTACAAATCGACTGTTTTGATTGTGAAGCATCGCATAACGTTGTTTCGAAAGGTGGGACACATTTTTTAATTTGAATATCAAAACGGGAAAAAAATAGCAGTATGGTTATTCAACTTCAATTTGATCTGTGACCACACATGAATCTTAACACTTTCATCTCAAATCATCTCCACCAATGGGACAATATCAATGCCATTAATCTGTTTCGAATATAGCAGAAGCTTTTGATTTTCAGAAGAAAAATACAGTGGGAGGCTGGTATGATAGTTGAGACAAAAGACTGCAACGAGACCAAGTCAGCAATCAGGGAAAGATGTGAGGGCAAGAGAGGAGCAGGCTAAAAAAAGCATCCGCCTTCGTTGAAAACCAAGCAGAAAAAAAGTGATTTCCATTGCTGTGAATAAAAAAGAAAAAGTGTACTAAAGACATAACCATCGCTTATGTGAATGTGTTGATTGAGCTCCCTCCCTCACCGCTTCCAGATATCCTCAGGCGTGCTGTGCCGGCAATACAGCGACCTGCCTCCTCTCACCCTTGATACCATCAAAGACCGAGTTATGTATGTCCTCAAGCTCTACGACAAGATTAACCCCGAGAAGGTAAACTAAAATGAATAAGCTGGGGAACAAGCAAAAGGCATTTTGTTAACTTCGTGTCTTTGAATGTGTCTCAGCTGCAGACGTCCTCCCACTTTATGAAAGACTTGGGTCTGGACAGCCTGGACCAGGTGGAGATCATTATGGCCATGGAGGATGAGTTCGGTGAGTGTCTTCATCCCTCCGTCCTGTCGCCATATATTCAGCAATGCGTTACCTCTGCAGGCTTTGAGATTCCTGACGCGGAAGCCGAGAAGTTGATGACTCCTTCGGAGATTGTAAATTACATCGCAGACAAGAAGGATGTTTATGAATAGAAAGAGAGAAGAAAAAAAAACCCAAAAGGCAAGTCTTCCAGTGGAACATTTAGTCCAGTCGTACAAAATTTTGACTTTTGATTCTTTGATACAGGGCCACACCATCCAACCTCCACAGAAAGGTGGCACCAAATAATGTGTCCGTGTCCTCGCCGTTGGCGCTTCTCTATTCGTGGTGTTGTCAGCATCTGTTCCGGCTGCAGCGTCTTGCGTTTGTATTTAAATGAACGGCTCATTTAAAATGTCTTTGTTTTCCCCCTCCACACATTTAAATAATTTCTTGAGTTGATCAATAAAGATATTGCCTCGGCATAAGGCATGCTTTTTGTGGACCGAGTACTACTTGAAAAACTCAGTTACTATTTAGTTGGAGCACATGGTTCAGGGGTCTGCAACCTGCAGCTCGAGAGCCCGATCAGGGTTCCCACGGGTCCTTAAAGGCCAAGTGTGAAGTAAAGTTGGCCAACCATGTTTTTGAGTAATATCAATGGCTGAATAATTATAAACATATTTCCGTTATTTTTTTTTTAACGCCACCCTTCCAGATTCTTTGTTTAACCCTTAGCAACGCCCTTGACAACGAAAATGCTTTCCTTCGGAAATCTTCGGAAATGACGTCACATGGAGAACTGCGAGGGAAGTCCGCCATTGAACAGAATTGTTGCATTGCTTGTTGGTAAGATGCCATGGCGGTGTGTGGCGATGTGTTGTTCGCAATCGACAGAAAAGTTGTACCAGTGGCCAAAGGATAGCAGGGCACGTAAATGGACATCTTTTATTCGCATGAAGGGAATGAATTTCACGTCATTATCGACGAGTGTTCTCTGCTATCTACACTTCAAAGATGACTGCTTTCTCAACCGGTCTGCTTATGATCAAGGATGTGCAAAAAAGTAAGTGTGATTTTTGGATAGATGATGATGATGATTTTGTCAAAGCATAGCTGCCAACTTTTGTGAAATGAACAGTAGAAGGTAGTGACGTCATCCGAAAGCTAACTCGAGAAGCAAGCAATGTTTAAAGTTCATAAAAATCCATAAAAAGGTTTTCCTATCTTAAAAAAAAAAGAAGTAAAATAATGTTCTTAATTGTCCTTAATTTTCAGGGAAAGCTTCAAAAATCAAAAAAAATCCTTCAAAATTAACCTATTGTGTTCATTTCATTTGTGTATGTCATTTTCCCCACCTGTCCAATTCATAGTTTTGTCGGAAAATGGGCCTGGTGCCCTTCCTCTCAAACCCCGCTGTCGGGCTATATGCCTTCCTGGTTCCCGCTCGGCTTATCCCGCCGTCTCCGATCAGTTCCGATGATGATCACTTCGGGTCATTTCGGGCCAATTTGACATACAATATGTCAAAAAAAGAGTTAGCTGATTGCCCCTAAATATAAAGATGTGTCCTTCCGTTCGCAGCAATGATTTGAACACCAGCTCAGTGATATGTTGCTTTCTGTTCATTAAATTCACCGTGAATCCCCGCTGAATGGAGAAAAAGTCCTTAAAAATGGCTAAATTGGCCCTAAAAAGTCCTGAAAAGGTCGATAAATAGAAAGCAAGTGGAAGAGTGGGAACCCTGCCATTGTCCCATGGTGTCAGTGTGCGCGCGAACAGGATAAGAAAACATGTATAGTAAGGCGTTTTTGGCCAAAAAAAACAACCATGAAGAGTAAGGCGTTTTTAGCCCAAAAAAACGACTATGTATAGTAAGCCGTTTATAGCTGAAAAAAACAACCATGTATAGTAAAGCGTTTTTAGCCCAAAAAAAACGACCATGTATAGTAAAGCGTTTTTAGCCAAAAAAAAACGACCATGTATATATAGTAAGGCGTTTTTGGCCGTAATTTTTAGCCGAAAAGAACGACCATGTATGGTAAGGCGTTTTGAGCTGAAAAAAAGACCATGTACAGTGAGGCGTTTTTAGCCGAAAAAAAACAACCATGTATAGTCAGGCGTTTTTAGCCGAAAAAAACAACCATGTATTGCAAGGCGCTTTTAGTCGAAAAAAAACCAACCGTTTTTAGCGGAAAAAAACGAACCATGTATATAGTAAGGCGTTTTTAGTCGAAAAAAACGACCATGTATATATAGTAAGGCGTTTTTAGTCGAAAAAAACGACCATGTATAGTCAGGCGTTTTTGGCCGTAAAAAACGACCATGTATATATAGTAAGGCGTTTTTAGTCGAAAAAAACGACCATGTATAGGAAGGCGTTTTTAGACGAAAAAAACGACCATGTATACGAAAGCGTTTTAGCCGAAAAAAACGACCATGTATAGAAAGGTGTTTTTAGCCGAAAAAAACGACCATGTATAGTCAGGCGTTTTTAGCCCAGAAAAACGACCATGTATCGTAAGGCGTTTTGAGCCGAAAAAAACCACCATGTATAGTAAGGATTTTTTTTTGCCAAAAAAAACGACCATGTATAGTAAGGCATCTTTATAAAACGGCTAAATTAGCCCTCAAAAGTCCTGAAAGGTCCATCAATAAAAAGCAAGTGGAAGAGTGGGACCCCTGTGTCTTCAATGTCCCTTGGTGTCAGTGTGAGCACGAAGAGGATAAGAAAATGAATGGTTGCACATATTTTTGGAAACCTGGGCAGGCACGGGTAGAACGTGCAACCTCACAACGAACAGCCGGAGCCGGAATCAAACCCTACACTACCACAGCACAACACCGACATACTTACCATTCCAGGACCAGGCAGGGAATGAATGCTCTATGTTGTTCCTCAGTGTGAGTGTGAGCGCAAATAGTTGTGCGGGGGAGATCACAAAATGGATAGCCATGCATGTTTTTGAGAACACACAGGAAGGCTCAAGAGGGAATCAAACCCTGAAGCTCTGCAGTGCAACGTTGACGCACGAACCATTCGACTGACAGTCAGGTGATGAGCAAACACTTTACATTGTCGGTAGGTGTCTGTGAGCTCGAATAGTTGTGTGGAAAAAAGGATCAGAAAATGAATGGCCACACACATTTTTGAGAACAGGGGCCAGCGCTGAATTCGAACCGGTCCCCTCCACAGTGCAAAGCCGACGCACTAACCATTCAACTACCACACAGGTATCGAACGCGATACATTGTCCATACATAAGACTGTTTTTTGAAATGTGAGCGCATGGACAATTTTTTTTTGGAAGTATTTTTTTCAGGTTAGTAAGGCATTTTTCACAACAACAACAAAAAATGACCATGTAAATGAAGGCGTTTTTACAGCCAAAAAACGACCATGTAGAGTAAGGCATTTTTAACAAGAAAAAAATGACCATATATGTTCAAGTGTTTTGAACCAAAAAAGACGACCATGCAGAGTAAGACGTTTTTTACAGCGCAAAAAAACAACCATGTCTCAAAAGGCGATTTTGGCCGAAAAAAACGACCATGTATAATAAGGCGTTTTTAGCCGAAAAAACGACATAGTATAGTAAGGCGTTTTTAGCCGAAAAAAACGACATAGTATAGTAAGGCGTTTTTAGCCGAAAAAAACGACATAGTATAGTAAGGCGTTTTTAGCCGAAAAAAACGACATAGTATAGTAAGGCGTTTTTAGCCGAAAAA